ACAAATAACTTCATTTCTGGACATTTATGGTTTTATTTCTTTGTATGTATGGATCACTGGGTTGTTACCAACATCTGGTGAAAATTTCATGTCATTAGCACCTCTCGTAATATATGATGTTGACATGTTCAATACTTATTTTACCCGCTGTAGCTGCAGCAGCTGCCAGGCATAGCACTCCCTGTGAAGCCTGTTAGGAAATTTCACAATATTTCTGCTAAAATAACGACTGGTAATGTGCAACTGATATTAGCRTAAAAGAGTAAACAACAGCATTCACAAGAATGACATTTTGAAGACTGGAACTCTTTTAAAACAGCAGCAGTTTGCTTTGGAAGTGGACCATATCACAGACTTTGTAAGAAAGTGTTCAGAAGTTGGAAGCCTGAATAATGTGCAGAAAAWCCCCAATTCAGTTCTCAGTTCAAAGGTTTATTCTCAGATCATAAAACATCATATCGTCCTCAGAGCCTGTGTCTGTGGCTCTGYGACAAAATTTGTTTCAACTTCATTATGGGTTGTCCAAGCATTTACATTGCTGCCATATTTGCATTTCATTGTTATTTTGGTGATTAAACACTCCCACAGCTGTATTGTAAGTGCTACACCTAACTGCTGCAACATGTCTGTAAATAACCATAGAGAAACTGACAGCTTTGTAAATAACTGATGAAATTTGGAGACTGGAGTTATTTTAAAGCAACAGCAATCCTTTCTGGTCATTCAGACTTTAAGAAACCCACTACATATTGGGMTTTAGACGACTTTTTAACAATCCTAAAAATCTTACTTGGTCTCTTAAAGTTGTTGGATTTGTTCATATGACTACGGTCATGTATTTGGTAATTAAACCACAGAATGACACATGTATAAACTGCTGAGCTGCACATCARTGACTTCTGTTTTTTTTTTAAACAAAACCTTGACGTGTTTTAAAGCCATAGACTCTCAAAGTGAATTAAAAGGAATTTTTTTTAATCAAAAGATTTCAAAATTAGAACAGGCAAACACAACTACTTTTTTAAAAAAGTATTCTTAATATAAAAACTATCCTTCCTTTTATTTCCATTGTTGCTGTTTAATCCATTCAATAAGTAAACAATCATGATTTTTCCAACACAATATTTTATGTTATATTAAACCACCTAAAAAATGTAACTGAACAATGATGCAACTGTTTCAGTGATGGCGTCCAAATACAACAAATTAATCATGGATATGTTGTTCTTCAGTATAAATTCTATCATTGATTTTAGAATGAAGTAAATAACCAGACGTGTTTTGTTTATTTTAAATGGAACATGTTTTTTTCTACAGTAGCAGCACCGACCACCACATCACCGATACTGACAAAACCTGAAAAAAGGTGAGACGTATGGTGTGACTGCTTCATAATCATGTTAATGCATTAATGATTTATACACTTTTATAAACATAAATAATAATTTGTTCTCTAAAAGTAACCGATTCTATTTCACTTTTTTCCTCATTTGTCTTTCAGTTTGTGGGCGACCCTTCGGTGGATCATCTTCTTTGCAATGTTGTGTTGTCTGGTTCTAACACATATTGCTGTGTGGAGGATAAAAGCTGCCAGGAACATATAGACTGCCTCCATCAACACTTTCTACACAGCTCAAACATTAATGAACTATATGCTTTTAAAACCTGGGTAAATTACAAAACATGGTCCTGGTGAGGATGCTAAATGGGATCTTTAATGGCCATTTATTGTGCGTGTGAACKGAGCTGGAAATAAACCATGAGTAACCACAGGCTTGCTTTTTAATGATTTTTAAATGTTTGAACCTTCATTAGCTTTTACTGCCTGGGCCCAACGTAACTTTAGGTCCATCTTCAGAATTAGCACCACTGAGAAAGTGAGGCTCGGATTTTTGTCTGATTTGTTTAGGACGATTATTGAGCTTGTTCTTTTTTAATTGCTATTCTTTTGTTCAAAATCTGTGCCTGCAGGACTCCAAAGWGTAAACCATGACAGCAATCATTGGGAATTATTGTTTATTAAATTTTCAAGCTCTAGACAGCGCGAGAGCTACGGTTTGGCCTTGTTCTGTGGTCTGAACTCAGCCCTACTGTTGCTTAGAGCACAAGTGTCAAACTCATTTTCACTGAAGGCCAAAAGGCCAGTTGTAATAAATTTGTGTTTAACTTCTGCTAAACACAAAACATCACATTCCCCRTCTCACTGCTACTGTATTTGCAGCGCTTGAGCACTGCTAACAAACAATAACTGAGCTCTACCTGTGAGGATTGGTGCAGGACAAACCCAGGGTGCAGGCAAAAAATCCAAGTGCAACAAAAAAGTTTATTAAAGTAACAAAAAGGCTGATGAAGCAGCTCAACGTGGACTTCTCAGGGGAACCATGCAGACACCACACAGGCTCAGCGAACACAGCACAATGAACCGACAAACACGAATGACAAGACTCAGAATATAAAGCAAACAAATCAAGAGTTAAAGAGGAACCCTGGGGAGACACGAGAGGAATCAGGTGTGCACAGGCGGGGCTGGAGGTCAAACAGCAGGGARAGGAAAACACAGGGGAACAGAAAAACACTAAGAAAAAAAAACACAGATCATGATAGTACCCCCCACCAACGACGGCTCCCGACGTCGAAAAGAGAGAGGTACAGGACTCGAGGAACACAAACACGAGACAGGGGAACTCTGGACAAAAACAAGCACTAAAGTCCAGGGGGACGGCCAGAAAACTGTCCAGCGGGTGACCCCACCACTGCACGAGGCCTAGCAGGAAGCGCAGCTGACACAACGCCACAGGAGGAGGCAGGAGTAGACAAGGAGCCCAGGGAGGAGACGGGAGCAGACAAAGACCCCAGGGAGGAGACGTGAGCAGACAAAGAGCCAGCGGAGGTTGCCGGAGCCAGAGCGTCAGTGACGGCGAACGCAGGCGACAGAGGCGATGAAGAGGCAAAAGGCGACGACCCAGGTGATGAGGAGGCAATGGGTGATGACCCAGGTGATGAGGAGGTGAAGGACGACAACCCAGGCAATGAGGAGGCGATGGACAACGACCCAGGCGATGAGGAGGTAACGGCAACCGACCCAGATGACGTGGAGGGGCCGGCAGCCAACCCACAAACCTCAAAGGCCACCATCTCTGGGACCACCACCGAGACCACCGACCCTGGAACCACCACCGGGACCACCGACTGTGGAACCATCGACTCCGGGACCACCAACTCCGGGACCACCGAACCACCGACTGTGGGATCATTGACTCCGGGACCACCAACTCCAGGACCTCCGGGACCACCGGAACCACCGACTGTGGAACCACCGACCCAGGGACCACCAACTTCGGGACTGGAAATACCGATCRTGGAACTGGGACCACCCACTCAAGAACCAGGACCACCCATTGCAGAACTGGGACCACCAACCCAGGAAACCCAGGAACAGACTCAGAAGACTCAGCAGACTCCGGCGACCCAGGAGACTCAGGTGCAGATCCAGCCAGATCGGGCATGGGAACCTCAGAAAAAAAACAGTGGTGGGAGGGTGGGCGAAAAAAACCACCAGAAGCCGCTTCTCTCGAAGGAGAGGTCCCCGAGAGAAGGGAAGGCACCTCAGCCAGATTTCTTCGGTTCTGCTGTAACATTTCAAACATTTCTTTTAAACTCAAAAAGGTCTTGCCTGCAGGCTGGGGACTTGGTCGGTTCATTCTGTGAGGACTGGTGCAGGACAAACCCAGGGCGCAGGCAAAAATCAAAGTGCAACAAAAATGTTTATCAAAGTAACAAAAAGGCTGATGAAGCAGCTTAACTTACAAGACTTCTCAGGGGAACCACACAGACACCACACAGGAAGAGCGAACACAGCACAATGAACTGACAAACACGAATGACAAGGCTCAGAATATAAAGCAAACAAATCAAGAGTTAAAGAAGAACACCTGGGGAGACACGAGAGGAATCAGGTGTGCGCAGGCGGGGCTGGAGGTCAAACAGTAGGGAGAGGCAGACACAGGGGAACAGAAAAACACTAAGAAAATGAAGACAAAAACACAGATCATGACACTACCTGGTATTTCCTGCATAGAAACAGCATTTGAACATGTCCCCTTATAAACACTAAAAACCCTATGTGTACGACTGTGGATGCGAAATACCGGTAAATAATACAGAAATACTACTCTTTCTTGAGAAGCTCCCGTCTTGAATTCTGAACTCTTCTACTTCCCAACAGGAAATTCCCACCGAAGGGGCACTCCGGTTTAAATTTGCAACTTGTAGATGGGAAACTCCCACGTCCCAGTACAACTTGGCAAAAGTAGCAAGCAAAAATGCAGCAAAATGGAGATTTTACACAGATAATTCCGCTGCCAACTACTTTTAAGACCTGTGCATTTCCACCTAGCTGTGGGATGCCATTATTTTGCAGGTAAAATAATCAAKAACAAACAACGGAGCTATTCAACTAAATTTCTCAGGGGACCACAGTTACTCAAAGCCAACAGCTCAGGGGGCGGACAAAAACTATTATCTTTSACCTTTTTAATTTGTTTATTTTATTGCCCTGAATCATACATATAAAGGTTACAAGTGAATTTGAATTAAATAAGTAAAAAACAAAATTATTATCATTGTTGTTATTATTATTATTATTATT